CTCATAGAAATGTTAAATTGGCTACACAAAATTGCATTAAGTCTCCAAAATATTAGAAATCAAAGAAACATCAAAATTGTGTTCATATGAAGAATTTTTTATTTTGCATTTATATCCGTTCAGAAGGGAAAAAACTCCTCATATGGCAGAAGGTATCAAATAATGTGTAACTGTGAAAAAATGGGTGGGAAAGGAGGATGAAAATGTTTCTACAATAATGATAATTCTGTATAGCAAGTGTGAGTGAGCTACTTCACCCTTGCCACCATGATGCTACTGTCATAATGTAGGAGAGGAGAAGCTAATCATCATCAGCCTCTGTATAGAGATCTCTGCTCTAACACATGCAAGTTGTACATGCAGTTTTGTGCATTTTGTTTCAATAAACTAGTTCTTTGGGGGGTGAGGAACTAGAGTATTGCTAGTCTGTCTGCATGATCTTCAAAAAAGCGATCTCTCCCTTCAGTGACCCCATTTTTCTTTAATAATGAATACCAAAAAAAAATTGCTTGTTTTTTCCCTTATAGTATGATGATGAACAAGCCTTTTACGCAACCGAGAGACAACTGATGTCACGATTGCCAAAGCAGAGATACCTGAAAACTATTTGTGATGAAATTTACAATATCAAAATAGAAAAGAGGTAAATGTATTTATTAAACCATTGAAAGTAATGCAACAATTGAGCTGCTTTACACATTTGCACTCTGGTAATTAGGCTGCTGTAATTTTTTTTCCAGAGAAAGGCAAAGAATGCACCCTCTTGAAAAGTGCCTTACTCCACTCACCCCAAAGATATTTCCTAAAATTATTTTACACAAGATTGGTGTTCCGGTCCTCATTTTTATGGTTATAAAATTAATCTAAACACCATAGTTTATACAACTATAAGTGACAATGAATTGTAAATTCTTGACAGGGAAATATTAGCCCACATTTAATCATTCGATTTTCCTCTTCAGGTAGTTTACACATTTGTCTTTTGGCAGCATAACTAGTTACAGATGGGATTCTCATAGCTGGGAACCTTTTATTCTCTTGTCAGCTGTGTAGAATTTCCCTTCTGATTCTGACATACACAGACTTGGACTTCAGAACTGTTGAATATCCAGGGCTCCCTCTGATTTTGGTGGAAACTGTGGGTATATCTGGCATAGCTGAAAAGACTCTTAAGAACCTTTTAAATAAACTCTTTCCACAGACATAGTAAAAACTACTTTAAAATACCCTAAATACAAATGCAGAAAATACATTTGTAGATAAAGAAAATAATTTAGAACAAAAAAAAATCAAAATCTGGTTTAATTTTTCATTGACCATTTCATTCAAAGTTTGTATCTGACTTTTTGTGTATTGTTGAGAATGACTCTTTACCCCTCCAGCATGAGTGGTGTTCAGTTAACTTTGGTCAGCCATTAAATGAGACTAGAATTTGTTTTTCTAGTAATAGTACCTTTCAATACTGGAGATAGCAAACACTTTATAAAACAATTGCATTTAAAGCTTACAGAGCTCTGACTAATAGAATTCAGTAAGTGCACATTGTCCTTTAGTAGCCTTCAAGAGGATCTTCTCAACTTTTGTTAGTTTATATTACACTTGCACTTAACTTCTACTTTATCCAAGAAGAAAAAACTAAATTTGAGGCAGTGTCTTATTGGAAAAGAAAATGTAATGTATTAAATTTGAGTACGGAGGTGCTTCTAACTTGATTCTTCAGCACTTAAGTCACTATTGAAAGCCAATGTAATAGTGTTTAAACTACTCGTTTTCAGTCCTAACCTACCCCTCAAGTTCAAGTGTTTCGCACATTAACACTTTCACAAATATTCAGCACAGCTTTCAAGAGACAGTGTTCTTTGAAGTGATACATCTTCTCTTACCTTAGATAGCCCTTTGTGGTCTAAGTTAAATCTCTATCCCATCCTTCTGCCTAGTGGAAGAAAACTAAATAATTCTATGTTCTAGAATTCAAAGTCTTGCTCATCTGGAAACATTAAGGGATGGAGATAATGGTTATTTAGGATAGCAAAAAGAGATATGGAGAAAGGTCTGAAATTGAGTAATTTAAGATAAACTTTAGGAAAAGCTTTTACAGTGAGATCTTAGTCCCTGAACAGCATTGTAGAAAAGTACCATTAACTGGATTATTTCAAAAATAAGTGGACATAGCATAAGTTAAGAATAAGGTTGCATTTGCAGCAGGATTTACTAATCATGTACAGTAAGATTTTTTCACTTAATGTAAATTAATAGCCTTTGAATGATCCTGGTTCCAGAAATGTTTAGAAGGCTTAGAATAGCACTACAATAATTATTCTGCTCTCTTGAGGGTAAATTCTAACTTGTCCTTTTTCTTTTACAGAATTCCTTTGCTTATTCTGTACTCTTATCGAGAGGACTACTATAAAATTCTGTTTTAAAGAGGTATCTCTCGGTGGGATGCTTAAACAGCATGTGATTGTTGCCAAGATACATAATCTGGAACCAAAACCATTAATCACATGTGAAACAATTGTTGCACATTAACTTTTGATATGGATTATATATACTTTATGGAATTTCAATAAGATGTGACAAACTGGCACTTACTGCCTTTATTTTTTTAGTGTCCTGCTTCATGCTTTGTATTTTTATATATATATGTAAAATATTGGCATTTAAAAAGCTCAAAATAAATGTTAAATGGTCATGTTTCTTAATGCACAGATAGATTACAAGTGTAAGGTACAATGTGTCTCTGTAAACTTCATCATATCAATGTTTACAAGGAAAAAATGGGCCAGTGAAACAATCACCAAGAGAACTGCAGTGCTGTTCCAAAATGTCTAGAGCTTACAGCTGCCTTACTACTACAGCCTTACTCACTTAATGCTACAAGCTACTGAATAGTATTATAGGTTGGACCTCCCTAGTCTAGCACCCTCGCCATCTGAGCAGTCCCAAATGAGGGGATTTGCCAGAGCAGGGGAGGTCCCTCCCTTCATGGCCGGTGCTGAACACTGCCTCCTTTTAGGACTTCAGCCCAGCCACTGTAATCATGGATGGAATGCCACAGGTGCTTTGCAGCTGCTGCTTGCCCCCTTGCTACTACCCAGCAGCTGGGGCCAGAACTCCACCTTGTACCACCCTCCCCAACATGAAGCTCCTGGCTGAGTCACTGGACCCCATGCCATGCTTCTGCCCCACAACCAGACTCTCTCTCCCTATGTGGTCCTGCTGTACCACAACTGTTGCTGCACAAGAGAGTCCCAGTTATGGGAGGTACAACCTACATAACTTAAAATATTTTTTTCAAAGAAACAAACTGAGTAGCCAATAGTTTTCAAATATGAAGGACATTAATTATTAGTACATGGAATGAAAACCCTAATGAATGCTCTTACTAAGCTGTGATCTTAAAATAAGAAGTCTTACAATCCTCTTATCACTTATTCATTTCTCATGTAAGCCAGCAGCAGGAAACAGCAGAACTGAATTTAACACAAATAAATCTTTTTTAAATGGAGGACAGAGTTGCTTTGAAAATAAACACCCTTGTGTCCCAACAGCTTAAGTACAGTAAGAAAAGCATTAATTTATACTGTAATGATTTTTAAAAGTAACAAGTAGATTTTGCATTTGTAGGGGAGTTTTCTAATGGTAACAGACCCACCCTTTCTACTCTTCAATCATATGGCTTTTGTGACATGTTTTCTCAGCATTTATATCTGGCTGCACTGAGGCACAATTTCAGGGAAAGTCTTAGGCCAGAGCATATCCAGTACAGATATTTAGGAAACTTTGCTAACGTGCCTCTAAGCATATGCAAATTGATTTTTTTTTTTAAAAGGCTTAAAATCATGGTTGAATGAAATTTCTCCAGGACAGCACACCGCTGTTCTCAAATTTCCACCTGCCTGCTGCAAAGTTTGAGGTACTAAAAGTGATCCAGTAAGAAAATTAAAATCTGTGGGTAGGCCTAGACTACAGGATTCTTTCGCAAAAGCCTTTTGAAAGAGTGAAACCACTTCTTTCGAAAAAGCGAGCTGCTTTTTTGAAATAGCACCCAAGCAGTCTGGATGTTCTTTTGAAAAAGTCATGTTTGCATTCAAGAATGCCTTTTTTTAAAATAGCACTTTCAAAAAAAGGCATTCTTCCTCCTAAAATGAGGTTTACTGCAGTTGAAAAAAAGGCCACATTTTCGATTTAATTTTGAAAGAACGTGGCGGCAGACTAGACACGAAATTTTTTTGAAAAAAGGCCATTTTTTTTCCAATGTCTATATTAAGGATACAGCTTAATCCTGGAAAAAGTTTGCCCTTTAGGAGGGAGAAAGTCCTACCCCCTAAAAAGTCCATCAGTTCTCCCTGTTCTGAGCATTTTTTGACCCTAGGAAAAGTACATTTGGCTTGACTACACAGTTGAGGAAAGGCCCTATGTACCTATGACTGATTTTCAACAAGTACAGTACTTTTATTTCGATCCTCTCTGCAAACGTGCAAATATATGATCAGATCTAAGACCAGTAAAATTACAGCAGTCATTTTAACTAAGTACACTTATGAGAAACAGGTAATAACTTTTAACAACACTTGTTCATACTAACCCAGGAAGAGTTACTATTAATATTTACAATAAAACTATTCAAAGAAAGAAACACCAAAGCCCTGACCACATTCATAAAAAGGAGACACTTACTAAAGAGTCACTGCATTGAAGCACTAGGGCTTTATGGATCATAGTGACCTATAGCCTCAAACCACAGCTAGAAGCTAAATTAATAGAAAAAAATCAATATCCCCACTCATTTTAACTTCCTTACTTAGTTTACATTGGGCCCATCTACAGATTTAGGCTTTAATTTACTACCACTTCAGATCTATATTTACTTTGTTACACAATGATGGTCAGTGTAAACAGTTTTGGGGATACAGTGGGTGATCACAAGGGCAAAGAACATTGCAACTGAGAGCGAAGAGGTTTCATTGTAATCCAGTGAGTATTCCTGCCCAACAATCTACAGAAGCCACCTTTTATTTTCATTTTAATTAAGTGAAAGTATTGTTCACATATTGGTATTCTACAGCCAAAAGAAAGTGGTGACTCAGGATGAAATGGACTTTGAAGGCTAGAATGCAAGTCTTGCAGTGATAGAAAGATTCTCTTCCATCACTGTGTTGCTTTACTTTTCTTATTTTTGCTTTTCTTGTCTTTCTTCTTCAGGCCATCCATGTTAGCTCTCAACAGGTTGGAATAGGCCTGAAATTATGAAATAAGCACCTTTTTAATATAGACCAAATACTATGAGGCACTGATGTCAAAAATAAGTTTAAAAAAATCTCCATTTTAGATAACCTATATTTCCACATAGTTCCTTTATTCATCAGGAGTGATACAAAAGATGCTCTAGAGCAGGGGTGGGCAATATTTTTTTGCCATGGTTCACTCTGAAAATTTTTGAACTAGCACTGGGCCGCACAGGAAGGGGCAGGGCTGATATTTCTGGATTCCTCACCCCTAGACAATGATTGGTCTGGGGGTGAGGGAGTGCCTTTGCCCCCACCACAAGTTTCCCCAAGGTGCCCATGCCCTGGCATGGGAGGAGACCTCCCTTACTCCTGTCCCTAGGCCAATTAGGGCCTGGGGGAGGGTCCAAAGCCTCTTACTCTCACCACCCCTTCTTCCCCTATCCCCATAAGCAAAACCCAGCCCTTCAAAGCACTACAGTGCCTGGCAGAGCAGGAGGAGGCTTCACAAGGAGTGGAGAAGGTTTCTTGCACTCCCCTGCCCCCAGACCCTAATTGTCGTGGGGGCAGGAGAGCAGCAGGGCCTCTAAAGGCCAGATCCAGCCCACAGAGACCCTTTTGTCCACCCCTGTTCCAGGGAATTTCATGTAATGGAGATACACCTACATACCAGGATATGGAGCTACTCTTCAAGTTATAGGAGAGGCTTTCAACAAACTGAAGTACATAATCAACCTACCCATTTAGAGTTGGAACAATTATTTGTAGCTTTCCATGACTTTTTTAAATTACTGAATACTTCTCCTTACAATACAGAAAAACAAAAAGGGAAGAAGAGAGAACACAGGAAACTTACCATCTGGAATTTATTTACTTCCTTTGAGCTTACCTGTGAAAAACAAGTTAGGGTGTTAAGCATGAAATACTGGAAACATTTAATCCTAGGACTAAAACTTTTAACTGACAGGCAAAAGTGTATTAAGCACCAGGTCCCACCAAGCTGTGCTTCACTTGATCAAACAGCTTCAGGTTATCACATTCAATCTCATGAAGAGACATGTATGGAGACCATGTGTGAAAGGGATCTCAGGAACGTACTCTTGGTAACAGATCTAGTATTTGGAGTACTATTCTCTCAACCACCACCATCACCACCTTAAAAGTCACCAATCCATAAGATAGTATTATGTCCCCAAATCTATCTACACAATCTTCAAAGTAAAGTGTCAAGCCAATTCTTTGTTTGCTTATTCCACTTCTGTTTGTGTATTACTCACAAAATCATCCTGGCTAGTTTTTCAACATAACGTACTCTCTTCAGATTCCTTTTCATGCATGTGTGACATCCAATCAAGTTCTCTCTTGGTAAATTCCATCTCTCACAGGAACAACTGAACTCCATATACAGGCAGTCCCCGGGTTACGTACAAGATAGGGACTGTAGGGTTGTTCTTAAGTTGAATCTGTATGTAAGTCGGATCTGGCGTCCAGATTCAGCCGCTGTTGAAACTGACCGCCAGTTCTGACTTGCATACAGAATCAACTTAAGAACCCCAAGCGTCCCCAAGTCAGCTGCTGCTGAAACTGATCAGCAGCTGATTCCAGGAAGCCCGGGGCAGAGCAACTCTGCCTCAGGCTTCCTGTAGTCAGCGCTGGTCAGTCTCAGCAGAAGCTGACTTGGGGATGCCTGGGGCAGAGCAGCTGGGGTGCTGCTGGGTTGCACCAGTAGCGCCCAGAGCGGCGCTGCGGGATCAACCGGCAGCACCCCAGCAGCTCTGCCACAGGTGTCCGGAGAAAAGCCTAGTCTGCTGGGGGAGGGGCATACTAGCTGCCCCCCCCAACCCCCACCCAGCAGACCAGGAAGACACGGGCGGGGACCAACCCGGCAGCCCCCAGCTGCTCTACCCCAGGGGTAGGCAAGAAAAGCCTGGTCTGCTGGGGGGGGCACTAGCTGCACCCCTCCCCCAGCAGACCAGGGATACGGGGGTGGCGGGACCGCCCAAGTCCTCCACGGCTTTGCTCCATCTCTCTGGTCTGCTGACCTGGGAGACGCGGAGCAAAGCCGCAGAGCACGCGGGCAGCGGGACAGTCCAGGCGCGCCACGCTGTCCCACTGCTGGCGTGCTCCGAGGCTTTGCTCCCCATCTCCCTGGTCTGCTGGAGAGGACAGGACAGCCCAGGCGCGCCTGGGCTGCCCCGGAGCCCCAGCCCCTCCGTGGCTTTGCAAAGCTGCGGGGGAAGCCGGCGGCGGGACAGCCCAGGCGTGCCTGGGCTGCCCGGCTGCCTGAGCCCCTCCGCGGCTTTGCTCTGCGTCTTCCTGGTCTGCAGACCAGGGAGACGCAGAGCAAAGCCCCAGAGTACCCAGGCGGCAGGACCGCGAAGTCCCGCAGTCCGTGTACTCTGGGGCAGCCCCGTTCGTAACTGCGGATCCGACATAAGTCGGATCCGTGTAAGTCGGGGACTGCCTGTATCTCTAGCATTGAAATACCCATATTATCTTCATATACCCAAACTGTGACTGTTCTCATTCCTGACACAGATGATTTATCCACCACATTAACTCATAAAATTGTCTGGAATTTTAAGTCAGCCTTCAGCCTAAATGATGCAATTATTTCAGGAACAAATGAGTCTGCAAGCTCTCTCTGACCAGATTTGCTACTTACCACTGTACTAATCTTCTTCTTTCCATCCGTTGCTCTCAGAAGACATTTATTGTCCGCTGGCTCAAAACCTTCCACGTGGCCCTTACGTGGAATGGGTTTTGTTCGACCATCATCTGTGTTAAAAACCAAAAGCATGTCTTAATCTGTTTATCCAGTTATTAAAAGATACATTTTTCTAAAATCTCAGTGCATCAAAAAGAGGGCAATCACCACCTTACCAAACTGTGTTTAACTACCTTTTAAAGCAGTTTGAATTCGAAGATACCATATCAAATATTTTTCTGCACAAGTTATACCCTGAAATTATGCAGCATATGAAATGCATTCAGAAACAGCTATTCTGTTGAGCTATTTTGCTGACCCTGTTCAACTCCTCTCTAGCATTTAAAAATCTGAGAATAAAATTTCCAAAATACCTATTTTTAAAGTTATGAGAGCTGTTCAACATTTACCTGCAATGTTTAAATTTCAAACACTGCATCACTAAAGCTCTGAAGTGAAACTAACTTGACTTTTCTCTCTCTATTTGCAGTATTCAAAAAACATAAGTAGGAACAAGTGGATTTTTTTAACTCATTAAATTATAACAATTTAGGAACAGGAGAACTTTAATATAAACTGACAGTATTGCTTTAATCCAATATAGAGGCAGAGATACTTACATTTTTTCAGTGTTATGTAAACACTCCCTGAGGTTCTGCATTTTTGAAAAAGCCTTGTTAGTTCTGTCAAGAACTACAAATGAAAGAAGAGACCCATCTTTGGTTAAGAGCTACAGAGCAGGAGGAGCAAAAGACAGGACAATTTTATGTTTGGCAATATTTGCTACCATTCTCAATGTAATTAATGGCAGATGTTTCACTAAAGTAGCATTTTTACAACCCAATGCTTCTCAACAACCTAGACAAATAATCTGCCTAGGTTACACCAGTGTAAGCCCTTGTGTTACATGTTTCTGAAGTCAACGAAGAACACTGGCTGCTGTTCGGCTGGATTTTGAGTGTCCGCACAAATCAACCAGGCCAGCGATTTACTGGCCAAGGACAGGCAGACACTCAGGCCGACCCCATTAGTCCCTGCTGCGCGCAATGCCAGGGGAAAGCAGCCACGTAAGTGGGGGAGAGGGCGCCCCGAGCAGCTCTTCTTCGCCTGCCGCCCCGGGGCCCGGAGCCGGGCCCCTTCCCCGCCCCGGGCGGGGCTTCCAGGAGGCCCCCGAGCGCCCGCGGGCAGCGCTCACCTGCTCGCTCTCCAGCAGCACCATCCTGCCCCCGGAAGCGGAAGGGCCGCTGCGAGCGCGCCTCATAGAGCGCGGGGCGGGGCCGCGAAGCTCCGCCCCGCTCACTGCCCGCCTGCCGCCCCGGGGCCCGGAGCCGGGCCCCTTCCCCGCCCCGGGCGGGGCTTCCAGGAGGCCCCCGAGCGCCCGCGGGCAGCGCTCACCTGCTCGCTCTCCAGCAGCACCATCCTGCCCCCGGAAGCGGAAGGGCCGCTGCGAGCGCGCCTCATAGAGCGCGGGGCGGGGCCGCGAAGCTCCGCCCCGCTCACTGCCTGGGTGGAGCGACAGCCTTTTCCCCGGGCCCACCAGCATCCGTCGGGTGCCTCCCGCCTGGAGGATCCTAGTCAGGCCCTGGCCGCTGCGCCAGCGACTGCTGGTCCTGGGCCATTGCCCGATGCTCCGGAGGCTGGTGCGGGAAACGCTGTGTAGGCAGTTCCGGCATTTCCTACTGAAAGCGAGTCCCAGAAAGTGAGCGCGAGTTACAGCCTGAAACATAAAGGATTGTCTCTTTCCCACACTTTGTAATAGACTTTACTAAAGCAAGTGGAGATTGTCAGCATCCACATACACATCCAGGGAATTCAGCCTCCCAACCTTTCTTTGGTGTTGGGAACCATTATTCCCATTTGACAAACCGGGAAGCTGAGGCACAGAGGAGATCTGGCATTCGGGCTGCACCACTCAGCAAATCTGTGGTGAGCTGGAAATTGAACATAGAACTTCTTATCCTCAATCGACAACCCATGGCTTGAGCTTGGGGATAAGGGTGGGTGTGAATGGAAGTCTCTTCTGGGCACAGAGCACATGTTCAGAATGATTGTGCACGTGAAGTGCAACTAATGAAGTGCTCAAACCTGCTGAAAGAAAAGCTCAGAAAAGTCTGAACTGCCCCACTTCATTTCCATGAGATGTATGTTCAGAGGCCCAATAATGATTTTAATGGCAACATTGTTGTCTATTTTCTTGCTGATGAAAACATGTAAGAAAGGAAAAGAATGATGTTACAGAAGTCTGCATCATGTATTGTGAGTGAGTGCTCATTCAAATTATGCGCAAGTTACCCCCGTCTTATTTTTCTTCCAGTGAAGGGACCTAAGCCAAGCTCAAGGAGCCTCATGGCTAGATTTTTGCACTGATAAGCAGTTCAGTGTGAGGAGCCCAGTAGTTCATGTGTGCTCATACAGCATCCTGGAATCGTGCCAATAATAATAATAATGGTGGCATCTCATTCTGGCTTCTCAAGTGAGTGGAACTTGATTTATTAAGGAACTTGGAGAATGCCATTACTTTTGGCATTTCCAATTTGGAATTCTGTCTCTGTGCTTTACTCACAATGCAGTTGTTCCTAACTCTGCTCTCCACTGCCACACTGCATCTCCCTTTCCAGTTTAAACTCTCCAGATAAATGTTTCACCAAGAGCTTCCTGAATGGACAAAAACATAAGACATTCATATTTAAAAAGTCAAGGAGTTAATAATATGGATCAACATTTGTTTGTGAAGGAGGCAAGTTTTCAAGCTACCTTGTCTCTTGCTTTGTCTATACTACCAAGTTTTGTCACCAAAAATGCCTTTTGGTGACAGTGTTCAGACTGCAATGTGACTTTTGCCAGGAAAAACATCCAGTTTTGGTGACAAAAACTTCCACCTTTATGAGAGACTTTTTTATTTTCCCCTCTCTTTATTGTCAACAAAGAGCCAACGTAGACACTGCTGTTCGTTTTATTGACAGAACTGGGTTCCACTAGTATCCCACAATGCCTGCCCTGATGGCTGTGGTTATGTTTTGATCGCTGCTACCCTGCAGACACACATTGCACCCATTTCCAAGCTCTGGGAAGTATCTGACAGCTAAGTGTGCTGCTCCGTTTAAGGTACAGGCCATCCTCACTATAAGTCCAAAATACATTACAAAAAACTTATAGCGTAACAACTTAAAGCGGGGAATTTTTTCCCATGGCTGACTTCCATTTAAGCAAACTGGGGGGGAGTGTTTCGCATGACTTACAGCAGGGAATGGGAGGACTTATGACACAGCACTTCCTACAAACATCAATGACTTTAGTGTAGAATGGATGTATACCAGGGTGACTTATAATGGGGATGCCCTGTACAGCAAATCACTGGAATGCTCCTGTTCTGACCTGCACTAAGAACACCAGGACAGGCAGATGGCTGCTGCAGGGAGAGGAGGACAGATGATGTGCTGCTTTGACAGTCAGCCTGGGAGCTCATATAGCTATTTGTGATTCTCCTCCCAGTGGCTGACAATGCTGTGAGAGAACTTGGAGCGAACCACAAGATGCACAGGGTTTAGCTCTGCCTTCCCACAACACTGCTCTGTGGGATACATACCCACAGTGCACTGTTCACACTTAATAAGGATACACCCAGATCTGCTGAGAAAGCAAGTGTGAACACCCTCTGACAATTTTTGTTGACTTTTAGGTGTCAATACAAGTTTGTCAACAAAACTTTGTAGTTTAGACATACCCTCTCTAATATCTTGAGACCAACATAGCTGTAACAACAAACAAGCATTTATAGTATTTTCCAAGAAGACTGTAATAAACATATTTTGTTACTTATAACAAATATTCATAAAGTGCGTCCCCAAGGGAATTACCAAAAGTAGTATAGAGATGGTGGATCATGAACCAACTCTTATTCCCTTTCAGTTAAATTGGAGTAGATTTTCCAAGTTGCTTATGGCCTGAGAAATGTCCCATATGCTAATTGCTGCTAAAGAACATAAAGTCCTGCAGGATAGGACACTTTCTCTGAAGAGCTATGGACAAGTTTTGTGGCTATGTCTGAGAATGTCTGTTAATGGTTTCAGGGAATGGCAAATGTAACTTCAGACTATGAAAAGGATGAGACTCTTGGCCTTGTACAATAAATGGCTAAGTGAAAACAAAGTGTATTAGGGTGGAGAGAAAGGGCACTTTCCATCCATAATACTTGTAGTTCTTGACTAAGGTCAAAATTCCAAAGAGTGGAAATTTCCTGTCAGTCCTACTCTGGTTCAGTTGTAATGATAGGGCTCTTCACAAGAAGTGAAATTTGATCTAGTGCTTCTTCACATTTTTAACAAAGCTGGGAAACTGACAACTTTGTCTTTTGCTCTTCACTGACCTGACAGAATGGATACCAAAGAAATAATTTTTCACCAATGCATGAACAAAGAAAAGAACCACGCAAAATATCTTAGTTCAGGAGATGAATAAACCTCTGTGTGTACAGTTGCACACTCAAAGGTAAGTTTCTTCTAAGCACATAATTTTAATGGTACTTTAAAATGATCTAAGCAGTTCTTAAGAGGGAAAAAAATTACACAACAGTTCCTTCAGAATTAAGGGTCAATACAAGTTGGAGAATTGATTTGCTTCAGCACCTATTCTCAGTTGCAGTCTGTTTACACATTGCATAAGAGGCAGTAGAGGGTGCTATGACTGCACAAACAAATGAAAATCAACAGTATGGGCCTGAAGTACAAGTAAAGAAATATATGAGAGAGATCACAGCAGCGACCAAAGCTTAGACAAGGCATATCACTTCATACAGATCACTCATTTACACTGTTGTCAGAGCAGGTTTCAAGGTAATTCAATCATTCTTTCACAGATTTCTGATGCTAAAGGGTCTCAGTCAGTTTTCTCCCCTTATATTTACCAGAGTAGGGAAAATATTCTACAAGTGCTTGTTCACATCAATTCCAATCAGGTGTGTGTGCGCTGCATGCACAATCATCAGAAAGCTTTTCCCTTAAAAGCACCAGTCAGATAGGGAATGAGCCCCCTGGAATGGCACCTTTATGGCACTCAATATATGATCCTGCTGACCTAACCCCCTCTGGGTATGTCTACACTACAACGTTAATTCGAACTAACTTTTAGTTAGTTAATTAGTTAATTCGAACTAAGCTAATTTGAACTAACGGATCCAGACTAAAAAACTAGTTCGAATTAATGTTTTGCTAATTCGAATTGGAATGCCTACATTAAGTGGACCCTGAACCGGGCTTAAGGATGGCTGGAAGCAGTGCCGGCAGGGCATAAAAGGAGGACTTAGAGCGTGGAGATGCTGTCTCAGGCTAGCCGAGGGCTGTGCTTAAAGGGTCCCGACCCCCACCCCGGACAGACAGTTCTCAGGGGTGCCCTGCTTGCAAAGCAGTCCTGGCTTGGAGTGCCCGGACTACCCTCACTGGGCACATCACAGCACTCGGCCATCATCCCGGCTGCAGTTGTCGCAGGCTGCCATCTGGGGAGAGGGGGCAATTGGGGGACTGCAGGAGAGCTTCCACCCCCAGAAGCCCGCAGAGCCAGCCCAGTCCTCCCCATCGGGGGCTTGTGCCCCATTCCTCCCTCACCTCCTTCCACTTACCCTTCCCTAGCCCCTCTTCTTGATGTACAAAATAAAGATAACGTGTCTTCCAAAATGGAATCTGTCTTTATTGAACAAAAGTGGGGGAGACTGGGAAAAGGAGGTGGGAGAGGGGAAGAGAGAGGCTGGGAGAAGGGAGGGCAACTAAAATGATCAGGGGTTGGGAACAGGTCCCATATGAAGAGAGGCTAAAGAGACTGGGACTTTTCAGCTTAGAAAAGAGGAGA